GGCTATTTATTTGATAAGGATAATTTTGTAACTTGTATTTTTAAAAAACATTTTCTTCTAGACGCAATGTTTTGTATGTCTGCTGATGCTAGTATGTTGTAAATAGTCTAAGATGTACCTCTTCTTAAAAAAACAATATAATAGTATTCGTTATATGTATAAGCATTTCTACATATAAACTTACAATAAAAGTACGTCTTATTGATCTTAATATGATAAATATGACAATAAAGCAGACAAAATGGCATTGTATAATTGCATTAAAATGTGTTTACAGATAAATAAAATACGAAAGAGCGTAATTCGTATATGCATAATAAGTTTCCGTTTTAATGTGACGATAATATTCAGCAATGATTTTTATGCTATGCAATGAACTTCGAGGACCAAGCCAGGTATAATATAATAATCAATGTTTAAACATTTATATTAACTTATATCCTTACTGTTCTAGGACAAGTATCTATGGCACCATATCAAGTACAAAACAAATCGTTATATTCTTTTTATAGCAACTTTCTTAAAAATAACAGTTCTTTTATATTTCGGAAATCTTAATCATTTTTATTCAATCGTAAAATTCTTAAAAGTAATATATTCCTTATGTGTCGCTATTATTTTCATGACTGCCTTGTAGTTACAATATTGCTTTTTGCCTTAAAACAAGGTTGACGATAAGATTATGTTTTTTGGATTGGTTAAAAAATACCTACATCGTCATCATTAAATTCCCGGTTTATGACTTAATGTAATTAATTTAAAAAATATGAGTATTTAATTCGTAATCACCACAATTGTGTGTAATAGTCATTTATTTATATCTGACAAAATGATATAATATACAAAGGAGTGAACGAGTGAACACGTCGAGGGTCAAATTAATTAGTATGCGAGGTGCAAAGATTATTTGAAATCGGATTACATTGACGTAAACAATAATAACCGTTTGCAGAATTTGGCACCACGGCATTTTTGTATCAAGTATAAAGGAGCGAACGAGAGAACACATCGAGTGTACAAATAAATTTGTATGACTACAGTGTAGTAACAATCAACAACTACAATATTTTTGTCGGATGACTAAGGACTAAGTAACAATGTTTCTAATCTGAAAATGTTTTACTACCAGATAAAAAAACAACAACACTATGAAAGAATTTACATCTTGAATTCACAGTTTTCGTAAATAACACATTCTTGCAAAAATGCATTTTTAGCAGTTGCATCACGTGATGTTCAAATTGTCAAAATCTGATCATAAAGCCTTTTGTTCATTTCCAGAGTGTAAGACATCCATATCAAATCCATATCACCCACACATTGCCTCGTTTTGCATTTCCAAGAGTTCAATAGTTTAATATCCAATTCATACCACACCACATACAGCTTCGTTTTCATTTTTAGACTCCAATATGTCTTAATCAAATGCATATTATACTCCTTCTGGCCTTGTTTCTATTTTAAGACTCCAAAATCCATATCAAATTCTTATTGTAAATGAAGGAGAAGATGTTATGTCAAAATGTCTAAAATCTGGTGTGAAATAAATGTGTACATGTACTTGTTTTTACATTAATTGTCAATAATATATTTATTTTATATCGTATATTTCTTTAAAACACGTACATGTATCTTGTAATATTATGAATCATAAAACTTAAATATGATAATAATTCAAAGTGCGTGGTGCACCATGAAATCAACCTACTACCAAATGATATTTGTTTTGCTTACCTTTATTGAAATGAACAAACGATAACATTTTATACAAGAGTATTACTGGCCCTATTTATATTCCTACATGGCTAACAATTCCATTTATAATTATTTATAAGATATTTATACTTTTTAAGATAATATAACGAAAAGAAAAATAACTGACAGCAACACATTACTTAACGGTGGTAGGTATTAAATTATGCTAGCTTGATCACATGAAAACATAATCTTTCTCAAAACTATTAATTCATTTATAATTGCTACATATCTAAATAACTCTTCCCTGTTCTCGGTAAATTTAAAAACAATTATTTAAAGAATTCCTGCTCAAAACCCGTCGATTTGTTTCCCTTTTTTATTAATAATCGATTGTGTCCTTAGTTTACCTCTTCTAATTTTATCGCTTTGGTATGTATTTGCTAAGTGTGTGGGTTAATAATAAAAAGGCAGAAAATGTTTTTAAAAAAGTAGCACTTATTGTTTGGAATTGTAAAGGGCACGCAATATTGAATATTGAAACATCGGACCTACGTGACATCAGACATTTCCACGTCCTTGTAGAGCGTAAGCACTATTCTTTTTTTAACAAACTTTGTCATTATGTATTGATCAACTTACTCTATATGCTAATAACCTTCTTGTTTAATATGTATAAACCTTAGACAAGGTCAACATGTTGCTTTATCAATGTATCTGCCAGGAAAAATGACAGAAGGTAACGTCCAATGTCAGTGTCACAGATTATGTTTTCAAATACAGAATAAGTTTTACAGAGCAACACCATTTTGAAAGACAAATGTATTCGATTTGGTTGTTGCAAAGAGGTGTTGCTTTAGAGAAGATAAATTACTGTTGAGTATTTGTATTAAAAAAAATGGTACTGTTGTTGTAAAGAGTTTTATTGCTCTACATCGTACATCGCGATTCCACTGTGTAAATCATATAGGTATGGAAAATCAACAGGACTTTTTGTGTGTTTAGAAAAAAACGGATAAAGAATAAAGACTGGCCGTTTGTGTGTTTTTTTTCATTTTTTTTTATCATTTTACAAAGATGCTCAACATAATTCACTTTGGTACAAATGTCCTGGTGTTGCAGTAACATTTCACATATATTTCTTGTAGAATACATTATGTGTTAAACTTTTATTACCAAATACAAATATTTTTATCCTATATCTTATACACAATTAAGCAACGTGGAAGAAAAAAAAATGTAAATAATTGTTTAAATGAAAAGCAGATTTAATTTTAAAAGAAATAAGTTGACAACTCGATGACAAAATAAAAAGTAGGCTGAAAAAAAATCGGTTTGTTGTTGAATAAACAGTTAAACATGCGTTTTAACTTCTCGAACGTAATGAGATTTGACAAAAGAAAAGAACACACAGATATGTTACCTAATAAGGATATTAGGTGCTAGTGTCCTTAAAAGTATATTTAAATATATTCTAAATACTTAATTTAAAATGCGAAAATTTGAAATTATGATATGATCATGATATGATATGATCAGTACAGATTACAAACTCTGATGGCGACATTGGATAAAAAAGGAACACGTTTTTCTTCCCAACAAGTCACATATGTTCTTAACGGTCGATGTCGCTACAATAGCTCGTGCTTTGCTCTTGAGGCCTGTCCTGTTGACACTGGTTTTTATACTCTAAGAAAGAAAATTAATTTCTTATTTTGATAACGCTCAGGTGAACGAGTGGTAATTACATAAATACAATTCTTTGATACGGCTTAGTAAACATTAAGATGATTTTCTTTAAGAACAATAAACTATATGATAGATAACATACTAATGGTAAATCAAGTGTAAACTAAGCCCATATGTTTCTGAATGTTTGATCATTTGAGCATGACATTTTAATGTTAAAATACTTAAAATGTTTCCATTTATATCAAATACTTACCGGCTGATTAAATCCATTGTATTATTACTCTGAAGCATGATTGTTTACTTAGTAATAAACATATAAACAATCGGTATGAAATACTTCCATAGAAAAGGACATGTACTTGTACATTTCTCTTTCTAAAGTAAAACACCGTTTTGAGATATACTGAATTATCAATGAAATAAAGATTGAAGGCAAAAACAAATGCACAACTTTTTATAGGCGAGGATAAGAGTATCATTGTTTCTGGGGAAAAAAATATTCTCTCATACGTAGGAGAAGAGCAAATAAAACGAAACTTTAACTGTCGTATATGGGATATAAAGTGCCATTAAGGAAATATTCATACTATAATTGATATATATGATTTTGTATTCCTCCAAAATTAGTGTTTATTGTGCTTAAATGTATTTTCTCAAGAGACTTCTAACATCAATATTCTTTGATTAAGTGACATGCGTGAACTACCCATTTGGGAGTAATCGTAAAGTTATACAAAAATCTATCTTGCTTTCTCCTCAGTATAAGCTATAAACTTCAATGTCCTGATATCTATAATGCGTATTTATTATATACTTAAACATGACATATTGAGAAATATTGATGAAATAAAATGCGTATTATATTCTTCCATGTTTTCACTATTACAATTTAATATTCAGTGCATTAAAGCATACATCTCATATAATAAACACACATGAAATATTTATTTTCATACCACTTGATGACAATAAACCATGTAATTGTAGAAAAAAGAATATCTTCTATTTATTAATTAATTAATTTCTTTATAAGAATCATGAGCTATATGAATATAGTTCGATTAGAGACAAACATGTGGTATATCAGGCAGTGTAATATCAACAAGTTTATGATATAAATACGGATATTTACGACAGTGTTTTATAAATACTGGTACGTTTACTCCACTGTAAATGTTACAGGTGTTTTGTTATATGATTATATGAGGCAAGAGCTATAGTGGCAGACATTTTATGTCATTGAGGTAAAACATAACAACAAACAACGTTAAAAATACAACAACAACAAACGATACAAAAAAAATTAGTTCATTTGCCATATTTTTCGCTTACATTATATGCTATGTAACAATTTATATTAAAAATATCATGAAAATGAACATTTTTTCAAAATACATTAGTTACAATATGTAATGTATTCAATCTCTGTTTGCTGCCGCGTGCTCTATTAAAGCTTTTTTTCTTAAAGACCCTGCCTTGACTGAACTAGTATAGAAACTTTAAAACAGACTATCAAAGTCATTAGGTATTTTTGTATTTTGTTCTATATTTGATAAACACGCACATGTCGTCGTGCCTGATTTAATGTGTGTTTGATTGCTTTTTTCAGATAACAAACACGTGCTATGCGGCGGGTAAGAGCATCGTTACAAAATTGGAAAGAAATATTCAACCAAAATTATTCCAGACAGAGATCCATCAGCACGAGACGAGAATATAATAGTGTGTGGTAACATGAATCTGGACAGTTAATTGAACGAATATATTATAACATAATATCAAGAAACAAAAAACAGGAAAAGGACAAGAGATGCTGCTATAAAGTCAACACATGTCCAACAATATCCACACTATGACGTCGAACATGATAATTTACAAAACAAAGAAAAATAAATAATGTGGAAAACGTTAAAGATTGTCCTGTTATTGACAACATGTGACATGATAAAATCCGGAAACGTAAGCCTAGTTTTGTTTGATAGTCTGTGTAAAAGAAGTGATGACGATTTGAACAAATTGATCAGTTCTGAACTAACACTAGAAAGCAATGTCTTCGTAACACAAGTGTGTGCAAAGGAAAACGATAACATTGAAAGCATTATAAAAAGCAAGGATGTGGATATATTCGTAGGAGCCATGAATCTAGACGACGATAAATATTATCTAAAATTTGCAGAATTTTTCAATAGACCTTACATTTCACCAAATGGAATTGACAGACATTTAGCTGGAGATATTGTTTGGTCGCTTGGGGTTAATTATCAGAGGTTATCTACCGCTCTAGGAATAGTTCTAACTCATTTTAAGTGGAGACAGGTCTTGTTGATAATCGAGGAAAGGACTGAATATGTAACGTTTGGGAATGAGATGTTTATTGAGCTGGTGCATGATGGGTTCAGACCTTCCATTAATTATGTGAGACAGGACTATACAGATACAGAGGTCGAAGTGATGTTGTCAAAGATAAATAATCAACAAAAAGGTAATCATACTAAAATCAATAGATTACTTACTTAATTAATTAATTTATTAATTAATTAAAAAAAAAACAATAACAACAACAGAAGACATAATTAAAAGAAAACAAATGATGTTATTTAAAATCATAATAATCAATAAGAAGAACTTTTGATCTAAATAAAATTTACATTATTTCCATTCAAAACATCGTTACCTTTAAATAATAAGCAACACTGATAACATTAAAACAACCACAGCGATACTTAAAACTGTTTTATTTCAGTTTAATACGTTCGATTTGTCTATATCAATTTTAGTATGAATAACAAGTTACGTTTTATTAGTATACATAAACCACTGAAACATAAAGCGACTAAATGTAGAATCGTGACCAAGACAAACCTGCATGACTAAATAATAAAAATGTGGGCAGATGGCGCTGTTGAGCTAAAACAGATAATACTTTCAGGTGAAGAGTAAACAAATATTTGAACAGTCACAATCTGAACATCAAAATCAGTAGAGATAAAAAAATGTACAAAACGTAAAAAAGTAGAGATAAAAGTGTACAAAACATCGAGAATGAGTTGAAGTGTTATACAATAAGGCAAAGAAAAACACCTGAAATGCCAGATCTTTTTTAGAATTAAATGTTTACTCATCGTTTCTCTGCATTATACCTGATTAGTCATAAACGGAATTCACTCTATAGTTCATGAAGAATTTTCTTTAAGATTGCTTTTTAATTTCCTGTCGTGACGATTGTGTTATCGTTTTATACTGCTTGAGCAGTCAGATAAACATTTGTTTAACATTTCTTCTTCATCAGAAACCATACGTAAAGATCATACTTGAAGAATTAAACACATGTGTTTACAAAGGTATTAACAACAACAATAATAATAATATCAACAACAACAACAATAACACAGCAACACTTTTCTATGTATATAAAGGCCTAAAATACATCGATTTTGATATAGTATCATACATTTGAGGTTGTATCATGTTATTATACATTTCATGTTCTGAATAAAACTTAGCTAGAAAATTATTTTTAATAAAGAAAGAAGATGAAAATATTTTGCATTTGTTTCCACTGGTTCATCTTATTTGACAACCAATACAGTTGCTTAAACGATATTTCATTTACTGTACAGAATAATTAGTTTTACAAGTGAATATAATAGTAATTAAAAAGAATCTAGATATCAACGCACATGCGTTAAAGCATTGCATGCAGAGGTGACTGTCACTTTGTCGGAAAAAATTAAGATAATTATATGGGACATACATGTATCTACGAATATTTTTTGTAAGGTAATGGTTTTAAATGCTTTAGAAGCCTCGACTGTACAAGCAAAGCAAAAGCGCTACTTAAAATAAAAAAGAAACAAATGTTTATCAAAGCGAACCCTTATTTTGAACGTTTTTCATTTTGAGCTATACATTGATAATATTTTCTTGGAAAGAGTTTTCAGAAACATACCATTTAATCATTCAGGAACTGCCGCAGCGGGGAGAAAGCAAAACGCGAATCAAATTGCATCAAGTTATAAGCAAATATTAAGTATTCCTTAATTTGAATGAGAAAAAGTTAATTCATCCCTTTTGCATATTAACTATTTTGTTCGCACCTACCTTCATATGTCCTAAAAAGCACTAAATATTAAACAGCTTGAAAGATTAATACGGTCGTAATTACTAGATATTAAGGACATTTGATACGAGACACGGCTGTTAAATTCGTTCAATGCGTCAATAAATTCACATTAATTTCGAGTTTCAATCATTTAGATTTGTAATGACTTTTAACTGTTTCGATATTTTAACTAGTAGGATGGAACATAAAAGGTTCCTATTGATTTAACGTTCAAATGAATTCAATTATGTATAGTAAAATAAGTCGAGCCATTCCTGCTTAATGACGATTAAAACACTATTCCAACTGTTTGGAATATTGAAACATGTTTGCAAGAATGTAAAGTCGTATGGTGTATTAAAGAAAATGTACTTTGGGGAAAATGTACTAAGATCTTAAGAAAAGAAAAACAATTCACAATTCAAGATATGACTATGACATGCAAGTATTGATTTTGCAGTATGTAACCCTTTTTTATTTAGGTTAATTTTGTAGATATGAAGTGCCGATTTTGATGTAAATTACTTTCAGTTGATAATATTTTACTTTTTGATACATTTTAAAAATTAAATTAACATGAACCTGTAGACACGATAAGATATGATAAGAGATAATGCACAGTATTTTGAAAAGAAAAAGAAGAAATAATTTCTTACAAATTATATTATACTTTACTTATTTCATCAATGTTTTAGAAATTATCTTTAATGAGAAATAATTCAAATAACACTTATGTGACACATTTGAAGAAAACAACAAAAACAAAACAAAAAATCTCCCCAAAACATCTAAGTATATCATAATCAAAGAAAATTAAATTTTGCTAAACGGATACTCAGACGCATGCTATTTGCTAAAAATATACAGTACATTACCTTTGAATCGCATTCCTACCGCAGTTCTACATAAGCACACTCTAATTCACAAATTTGCAAGACCCATTACCTCCAGTCGTCATTCCAATGTCCCGGAAATGATTTTAAATCCTCTACCCTAGATTAAGTCTTAACCTTAAGCGAAACCAAGTGATCTAGAATTGAATTAGTTCAAAGTTAAGTTCGATACTTCCATCGCCAATGTCCCGGAATTAATTCTAATCTTTGTAACCTAGATTAAGTCTTAACCTAAAACGAAACCAAATTATCAAGAATTGAATTAGTTCAAATCAAAACTCGACACCTCCTTCAAAATGAAACAAAATGCAACATACCATGGTATCGTTGTCGTTATAAATTTCAAGAACATATAAATCAAAATTAATAGCAGTGACAAGCCTTCAGTTCTGCTTAATCAAATGCTGATGATTTTGGAAGACATGCACATAGTTTCTTCTATAATAATTTCCTGATGTGTTGAATGTTTGGCACTAATGAGTTCAAACTGAGGCCACATGAGCAATGTTCTTGAGAAAAAGCTAATGTAAGAACAAAAATGTATGCCAATACATCTAAAATAAAACATTTTTGTTTCAAAGTACATGTAATGGTTTTTTTTCTAAATAAGTTGAATAAAAGTATCATGTTGAACTTAATATGTAATTGTATTTTGATTTAAATATTTTCCTTTTTTCTGTTCCATTTACATGTAAACGTTCTTTTACTATCGTAAGATTTACATTTTGCAACACTTAATTCTCGAATGTAACATCAATGTGTTATAAGACATGTACATGTATATGTGCATACAAGTTCGATGAAAGTCAAATAACACTTAAAAACAATTTCTCAAAGAAATGGAATTCAGAGTATAAACTAACAGAACCTTGCTGTTTTATGTCAACCAACAACCCGATAAGCCATATGAGCCGACATATGTTTGTGTTCATATCTCTGTCTTTTCATGCTGTCCCTCTCCGCCGTTCTCCGCGCCGGTGCCCTCTTTAATAAGTTTGGTGTTCTGTATGCGCGCCCGGTGTGGATGGGTTGTTTTGGGGACTGCGTTCTGAGAATGTCTTCTTGCCTTGTTGATCTGCGCTGTTTGAAAAGAGTGAAACAAAAGACAACAACAAAAGGAAAAAAAAAACAAAAAACAATAAAACATCACTGTTTGTGAATCAAACCAACTCTATGACCTTTATCGTGCCTCGTAAAACATGATCGATTTAAATGACACCACCATGCACGTAAATTGATCGACAATATTTCAGAAGTGAGGACAGCTTATTGCTCGCTAATCTGAATCCCTGGTGAAAATTGAACAGGAAATTTGCAATGAATTATTTCCGGGGATATTGATGTCCGTTTGGTCGAGATAACAACCATATCAAAAGATTTTAAGTTATCTGCTGAGCTTTTTGAAATAAAAACAATCAAACCACAACTGATTGGATTGTTATCAAGCCTCAAGTGCTCGAAGATAAAAGATGAAACGCTTACTACTCGCTTTATAGTCAGTTAATGTAGAAAAGCAATTTAATTATTATGTATAAACGTTATATTGCAACTGCTGAATAACATGGCAAGCTTCATTTTTGTAAAAAAGTAAATCGTAAAGGTAACAATCTGTTACTACATTTATTATCAAAATATGTATTATACGAGTATAATAAAAAATAATTTTAAGTTTTACTATATATTACTGCTATAAATAACCTATTTAATTTGTAAAATATTCACAGAGTAAGTTTTGTTATTTTCTTTGGCTTAATTATATTAAGTAAAATAAGGAATCGAAAAAGATATTCAAAACCACATTATGATGTTATAATCCTGTATGTTATTTGACTAAAGTCACTGAGTAAAAAAGTTTATACGTAAAATTATCATATTATTTTGTCTGTTGCAAATACCAATGTATCTTTGATGTTTTTGATTAAATTTAACAGTGTTCCACTGCTGGACAAATTAAAAAAACAACACTTAAATATCGAGTTTTTTTTTTAAATAAAGAACAATTATGCAGTTTGTGTATATAAAATGTTTGATTTAATGAAAGACTATCTGTTAGACATGCTCTCATAAGGCAGGGTATTAAAAATAGTTGTATAATATTAGTGCTCTCCTACTATCATATAACATACACAATTAAAACAAGTTAACTATCATATACATTGTAGCTAACAACAGTGAAACAAGTAAAAGAAATGACCGAAGCTTTTCGAAAAATGTTCAATATTATGACTCAGAAATTGATAATGAAAATGGTAACTGAAGTAAAATTAAATCTATAGTTTCTTAATCCTTAAGATGCTAAGTAATTACTGAGTTATTTTGTCAAAACATAATTTGTCATGCTGGTTAGTGTTTGTAAAATTATTGTTATCATTATTATTGTAATTATTATTATTATTTTATATTTACATGTAAAATTGCTATTATGAATCACGTAATATGTTCAGGAAAATAAATATATTTGTATATTTTCAGCCATTGTTCTTCTGACTACAACCAAAGTGCAAAACAGAATCATCGTAATTGCTGGAAGGAAGGACGGCTTTGCTGAGCAACATTCGTTGTTTATCCTCCAGACAAATCCTTATCAGAAACCTCACATCGAACGATTCAATGATACTATTTTTGAAAACACGACAAGTGATATTTTGCAGTCTATATTTTTCCTGCAACCTAGTTTTGAAAATGCGGAAGGTAAACTTTCCAAACGGAATGTAGTGACAATTAAAGAATCATTGTCTTTTCAGAGAACAATAAGAAAATCACGAAGTGTTACAAATGATGACACAATAGTTATAAACTTCATTTACGATTCTGTGATGTCGTTAGACGCACTAAGCGCTGACAGAAATATCAGTGATGTACGATCATTTTTTCGTAGCATAGGCAATAGAACCTTTCTGTTATATTCCGGGACAATCAAAACTGACATTTCTAATAATGTTTTATTCGATTTTGTTCTGAGTGATATGAACATCGAACAATGGCAAATAGATCGTGTGCAGGAAATAAAGCAGCTTTCAGACGGTAATTGGGCAATAATTGGACTTTCAAAGGTACCGTTCTTTGTATTATCTTGTTTTTAGCCTTTTAAGATGCTAGTAAATAAGATATCTAACACAGAAGGCGTCCAAGGACGTTATTGAGATGAGTATCAAAATGATTACTGGCACAATTATTAATAGCTTTGGTCTGCTTCTCTTTTTCTCAATATTTGTACTTTGTGTGTGACCTTTGCTTTATTCATTAGCGTCGTTTCAAATTTCACGGGTTTTATTTTAAGACGTTTTTGCACACATTAATTTTTTATGAAAGAAATTTGTTAAGATTGATTTCCCTCTGATTTGATTCGACTGACTCTGACACACTTTTACACAAATAAGCACGCAAAACATTTAAGTTACATTAAATGTTTGAAGGAAAGAAAGTGCTGTAAAACTTATATGAAAGAAGTAAAAAATGTAAGTACGTCGCTCGTCCCCATTATTTTTGTTTTATTGCTGTTAAGAATATTCAAAAAGTAAAATGTCGAAATCTCAGGCAATAGTTGATCGCAAAATGTAGCCTTATGTATAAATGAGAAGATTTTATATTCAATTATTGAAATTTGTATTACAGTCTATCTATTTATTGAATGATTCAACAACATTTTGCAGGTTAGATGGCCAAAGAATATTGTGTTGGGTCCCGACCCATGCTTCCATTTAGATTCTTGCAGGCAAGAATCAGAAGGAGGACTAGATGCTCTTTATATTCTTGCCATTGCCATAGCTGTCTTGTTTGTTGCCGGGGTAGCAAACTGCATAATAAAAATCACTGTGTGGTATTATACGATAAATAATTAAAAAATAGCTTAAAAAATCCG